CTAAATCTGAAGCTGTTGGCAGAAGAAATCAGCTGAACAACAAACAATTTGCTGCCATGTGAAAATAGTTTTGACTTTCAGCTAATAAAGTCTCATTGTGTTATGACAGCTTGAAACTTACAACTAAAGCTGTGTTATTATTATTTTACCTTTTGTTTTAAACTGAAAACAACAAAACCAGCAAGAATCAGAGAGCTGGGATCATGAAGATGGACTGGACCAATGTAACCAGTTCTTTGTGACATTTTCTACTTGCACCCTAAAGCCTCGTAATTCATGATTAAAAATAAAAAAACACTGCCTGTGTTCACTTGAACAGAGCAGCTATCAGCTAAAACTAAAGTCAGTTTTCAGTTTATAAAGGACAGAAAGAAGAAGAAGACAAGGTCTGGATGTATTCCATGTTTTCTTTTCAACAGGAAAATACATTTTCTGAGTTGGACTTAAGGCTTTAGACTGGGCCAAATAATATTTTTATTATTATTAACACAAAATCTGGGTTAAATTAGGATTAGCTAAATTTGCTCATGGCTCCATTTAATAAAATTAGGTTTACAGGAGCTGGATAACAACAACTATAAATATAACCTGTAATAAAACACAATGGAAACATCCTTTATTTATTCACTACACTTTAAAAGCAAAATTTTTTGAAGTTTTGGCTCAAAACTTCTAGTTTCCTCATCAACTAAATTTTAAATATATAAAATTTAATTTCTCCACTGTGAGATTTTTCTGTTTTTTATGCTGAAAATAACTGAGAATAGGAGATTATATAGAAAATAAAATTACAAGAGTTAAATAAATTATTTCACAATCAGCAACAGCTCAATTAAAAACAGCCACGAACGATTCTCGGATCCACCACCAGGTGGCGCCACGTGGCCAGAGACGCACATCGAAGTAAAGAAGCGGTTCGGAATGATTATGAGATGATGACAGGAAGTGGATAAAACGCAGGTCGCATCACTTGGCACGGATTTGTTTGTCAGCTCATAAATATCGTGTTAATAAGCAGCTCGGCTCGTGAAACGTACACATGTATCCTCCTCTGAGCGCTGTGTGTGTTTTAGGGTTTGGCTCTGCCGCTGCTCTTCTTTTTCATGCACGCATGATTCATGACTCTTTAAATTACACGTTATATTAATGTTAGTGCCTTGCCAAAGGGTCATGGTAAAACAAGAGGAAGCATTTGAAAAAACAAGTCCTGAAGTTTATCTTCTTCCAGTTGTCAGATTATGAGAGGAGATTAAAGTTTCCTCTGGGGTCAGAAAATATTTAACTGAAGTCGTTGATCCAGAAAGGTCCCCAACACACACACGCGCGCGCACATGAGTTTTAGTCAAATAAAGCTCGCTGCAATCTGAATGTTGCACAGCTTCTTTAAAAAAAAAATGACCAGAAATAAAATCTGGAAGCTTCTTTTTGTGAACACAACATCCGGAAACGCTCAGATGGAGCAGCAGCCGCATGCGCCGGACACTTTCCGTCCCCAGAACCCTGCGCACCTTTTACGCATTCACGCTCGGCGCTGAAAGCCACACAGCGCGCGGGGCCTGCTTCCAATCTGAGGACATGCGTGATGAATTTGGGAAATCATGTGCAGCTTTTGTGCTGGTCCCGTTCAGCCCACCCAGTCCGGAGCGCGCTCTGCTCTGCCCCGGGGTATCAGAGGCAGGAAACGTGGGAATCCCCAACAAAGGAGCTCCATCATTAAACAGAAACAACCAGGGGCCTCCGAACAGCTCCTCTCTTCTCTTTTATGTCGGAGCAAGTGGAGATCTGTGCATTTCAATCCTAATATGATCTGAATTAGGATGATAATCTGACAGAAATGCAGAGCATGAGATGGGGACAGAAAATCAGATTTTTTCGGTGCTGCGTCAGAGGAGTCCGGTGACAGGCTCTCCTCCTGCGGGCATCAAATTATTATTTTCACCTGCAGCAGCACAGAGTCGGTCATTCCTCGGATCCTGTTGTGGAAACGTGCAATTGTGAGTCAAGTGCGCGTGTGAAGTGCGGCAGCAGAGAGGGGATTAGAGCTGAAGAGCCAGGGGATTTTTCTCCTCATGGCGCGCGCTCATTCTGGACCTGATGCTTCCAAAGTCCCAGGAAAACATCACATGTCCTTTATTATGACCTTACTGTCAGAGAGCTGCATATTTATGTGTTATTAAAGAAATTACACATTTTCAGCTCAAAATTTACCGTTGATTAAAAAGTAAAAATAAAATTATAATATTTTCTCCAAAGTGTTCAACTGATTGTTTTTACAGCAGAAGTGTCACAATATAGGGACCAGAATTTATTTAAAAAAATAAATACATATATTTAAAAAAAAAAAACATTTTATCTATAGCATACACGTTTTTACAGGTTTTATTTCTAATGACGTGTTTTATTTTATTTGATCACAATACAATAAATAAATCAATGACTCTTATGGGAACATCCAAACCAGATCCCTCAGAGCGACCTTGAGTCTGTCATGAGACATTAATGATGCCGTGTTGACACGAACGTGTTGAGAAGATGTTCATGTGGAGAAACGTAGAAAAACTTCTCCAGTTTATATGAAAACACTCAGCTCGCCTTCTTTCGCGTGAGCTGCACCGCTCGGGTTGAGGGTTCTCTTCCCTGTACTCTTCATCTCTGAGGTTCTTCCTGGGTCTGGAGTCACTCTTCCAGTTTGGGGCTCACAGTTCTCCACTGACGCTTTGACTCTCCACATTTCCTCGTTCTGCTCTTGGTGTCTCGAGCTTCTCGTGCTCCTTCTTCCTGATGTTACAGTCACGTGGGAGTGCCACATCTGTCACCACTGCATTCTTCTCCTACTTGATGACCACCACCAGGTCCAGCTGGTCAGCCAGCACCGGTTTGTCAGTCCCACAGTACCTTAGCCCTGCGTTCCCCACCACTCCTGAGTCTCCCACTTTGCCTGTGGGACCTCCAGTCTCAGATGTTCCTGTATATCACTCCAGCCATTTTCTTATGGCGTTCCATATTTTAAATATAATAGTTTTTAGTTTGGAGGTGGAAACGCAGCAGAAAATATCAATTAAAAATATATATCGACAGTCTTAACAACATTTGTGTTTCTTTGATGCTCATCATCTTAAATCTGCTGGAGTCTCAGATTATCATCCAGGATCAGGCAAAACCAAACATAATAATAATAATAATAATAATAATAATAATAATAATAATAATAATAATAAACAAGTGAAATATATGTATTTAAAATACGAAAGCATTTTGTTTTTATGTTTTGTTTTTTTTTTTTAATCAGTAAATCATTTAAACTTTAATTGGGCCCTTCTTTTAGTTTGTTTCACTCCAACATCAACAATAAAATCTCTTTTATTTACTTCAAAGTTCAGTCGTGCGCTAATTAAACTCAGTTTCATTAAGTTCATGAATAAACTCTTGATTTGTGGCAGACCAGTTAAAACTTGATTTCTCTGACCGGATAAATCTGCACCAACGACCGTTCCTCGCCCACAATCCTTCACTTTGACACCTGCAGGGACCTGAAGAACGTTATTTTGTGTTTTGGGGGTGGAAACTGAAACATAAACATAAATTATTTGAGGAGCAGGAAAGTTTTGGGGGAACATTCAGACCTGCTTCTTCCTGGTCTCTCCTGTCCGGGTCCATTTGGCTCTGACGCGCTGACAATGATGATGATGATGATGCGCTGCTGGTAGACCCCCTCTCTGTCAGCTTCTCCTTACCTCATTGGTCAGGATCCTCTCCCTGATGACGTCACGACGACCAGAGCTGCAGGGAAGTAGCGGCGACCACAGATGATGCTGGACAACCTCAGAGGACGCGCACACTTTTACGCACAACGACTGGCGGACATCGCGCTCGTTCGCACCAAAATTAAAGGAAGCTGATTAAAGTCCGCAGGGTGTGTGTCTGCGTGCGTGTTGCGTGCGTGTTTGTTGAGAAGCTGCGCTCGGATTTCTAACTTTTTGCCAGAGGAAATGGAGCGAGTGTGAGCCGCTGAGTTTCGGAGAGGAGCGGTCTCCCTCCACCTGTTGCCAGGTGGTCCCGGACTGAACCCCCTCTCACATTTACTATGACATTGGAAGAAGTCGTCATGGAGGATGTTGTTATTGACGTTGTGGGACTCCGAGACGGCGCGGAGGAGCAGCTCTCACCTCTGGATGAGTCTCGGAGCGGGCAGGAGTCTTCCAGCAGCCAGAGCGCAGAGCAGGACGCCTCTCCGCCGGCTGCCAAAACCAAAAGCCCCGCGTCTGTGAAGCCCCCCTACTCCTACATCGCCCTGATCACGATGGCCATCCTGCAGAGCCCGAAGAAACGGCTCACCCTCAGCGAGATCTGCGACTTCATCAGCCACCGCTTCGCCTATTACCGGGAGAAGTTCCCGGCCTGGCAGAACTCGATCCGCCACAACCTCTCGCTCAATGACTGCTTCGTGAAGATGCCCAGGGAGCCCGGGAACCCGGGCAAAGGCAACTACTGGACTCTGGATCCCAACTCGTCCGACATGTTTGAGAACGGGAGCTTCCTGCGGCGGAGGAAGCGCTTCAAGCGGCAACACTTCCGCTTCGACCCCCTGAAGGAGCCGCCGCACCTGGAGCCGCTGCGCGCCTTTACGCACGGCGCGTACGGGCTGGGCGCCGCGGCCCTGCAGCTGCCCGCCCTGGAGCTTTACCCCTTCTTCCACCAGCACCCACCTTCCCCCAGCGTCCCACCTGTCAGCAGCATCCTCCCAGCTCTGTCCTCCTTCTTCTCCCGCGGCGCGCTCACGGCCAAGGCTTTCCTGCAGTCGCAGCCGGGCCTGGACGCCTTCTCGCCGGCTCCGTGCGCCGCGTACTCCCCCTCTCCTCTGAGCTCTCCCTTCGTCTCCCCGGCGCTCCTCCACCCGGCTCCGCACCTCCTCAGCCTGCAGCAGGAGTACCAGAAGCTTCAGGGCGCAGAGCTCCACAAACTCAGCCACAACGAACAGTCGCATTAAAGCAGACTTTAGACTGGAGTTTTCTCAGGTAATTTCACAGAACAGTGGCGCAGTGGATCAATGGAGGTCTCACCAGAACTTTCTCAATAAGTTGGAAACTTCTTTATGAAGGCGCCATAGAACAAGGATTTTCTTCCTTTGTTTAAATATTTAAAAGACACGTTTCTTATATTTCTTTTCTGGAAAATAAACAGAAGTCCAATATTTAAATCTTGCGTTTTATTTTGGTACAGATGTGTGTGTAAATATGAAGCTATAAAAACATTTAGCAAAGGAAACAGTTTTGATTTGAAGGGGAATTTTTGGTGCTAAAGCAACAAAAAGTCTCTCATTTGCATTTTAAACAACAGAGATTATTTATTTGTCCTGAAGTTTCAAAGCTACAAAAATGCAAAACGCTGAGAAATTATTTTTCCAGCGTTTTGCGTAAAAATTGGACAATTCACTAATTAAAAAGACCAATTCTCACCCTGAAGCATAAATAAATATTTATATATTTTTAACATTTTACACAGAAAGAAAAGCTGCAGAGAGGCAGTTTCTAAAATCCGATTTAGTTGTTGTTGTTTTATTTGTTGGAAACTCCAAAAAATATATTTGGAGAAATCCTGCGTCAAATCCGAGCCGCATGCGCCCAAACAGAATAAAAAGAAATGATCCGAATCAAAGCAGCTCTTTGACAAAAACACTTAAAGCTCTAAATGTCCATCAGATGTCACTTTGATTGATGTTAACCTTTAAAATCTGCCTCTAATGACCCGCCAGAAAACCGTTTCATCTTTAAACTCATGATGTTTTCAAATAAAGAAAATTCATCAGTTCTGATTTGTTGCAAAAGAAGTTCTGTTAAAAACTGAACTTTGACAAAAAAATATTTACAGTCAACTAGAAAATGCTTTACATATTTCAGGGACATTTAAAATAACAAATCTAATATTTGTTCCATTATGTTTTAAAATGATTGTTCCAGCTGGTGATCAAAACCTGAATCACATTTTAAATGATTCAGTCTGATTCTCAAACAGAAAATGTCCCGTTTGTCTGATTTATTTATTGATTTTTCTTTATTTTTCCATCATCAACAACTTTATTTATAAAGTGCTTTAACACCTGAAACAAAGCAAATTTAATTTTTTTTTATTTGCTGTGAACAAAATCTTGCTTTAAAGTGAGATCAGCCGTTAAAGTGAGTTTAAGATTCAGACTTTTGCAGGAATTAATGATCAAATCAGTTCTGACTTTGGTTTAAATCAGTGATTTGTAAACTTTTCTTCCTTTTCATAGGAGCCCCATAAGAATTTGAATAATCCCAGTAAACAAACAACAACAACAAAAATAACAAGTTCTGCTCAAGCATTTGCATGAATTTATTTTAATTGGTACAAAGAAAATGAGTTGTTTGCAATTATTTTAAAATTTAATGACATTTCTGGATTACTTTGTATTTTTATGACGCACGGGTCCGGATCAACTTTAAGACTCAGATCATCAGTTCAGCATCTTTAGTTCCTTGGATTTGAAGGGTGGCAACAAAAAATAAAAATAAATAACAACCCTTTCCTGAGAGAAGAACTCACCTGAATGAAGGAAATCTTTTTTTAATTTTTTTCTAGCGTTCAGAAAAATTTACAAAATGAGCTTTTATATTAATTTACTTGTGTCTCAAATGGAGGTTTTATTTCCCCCTATTTTAAATTTCTAACCTTAAAACAGTCAAACATCAGACTCATTTCACAGCTCTTCTGCTTTCCAAACTAATCTGATTTTACCCCCCCCCCCCCCCCCCATTCTTAATAATTTAATCCAGGCTGCAAAGCAACTCGTAAAAAATGGAAAGAAGAAATATTTGGTGCACCTCACAGAAAGGATGAAGTCATGCTGCAGCTTTTCCAAACTTTACAATGATTAGTGCACATAAACATGATTAAACACCGGAGTTAGGTACCACTGCACGTGCACGGTCCTCCAGAACTCCTCGAGTCCAAACCTTCTGATTTTTCTTGCTTTTTTAAAATCTCCTTCAGTTTTTTCCTGCTGGTGAGCAGCCAAGAGAGAAAAAAGCTCAATCACAGACAAATAAATGAAGTTGTAGAGGCTGATTGGCAGCCGGGAGGGGAGATGGAACTGGTGCACCTGATAAAATAAGCAAGTGTGCATGTGTGTGTGTGTGTGTGTGTGTGTGTGTGGTTGCACATCAGTTTTCCATTCTGAAGGAGGTAAATTTTGCCAACGCGCTGCTTTGACTCTTTTCTTTGTGACTCATCAAGAGTTAGTTTTATTCAGTCTTCTGTAATCGAAATAAAACTTCCACTTTTGAACAGCAGCTGCACGCTTTCCTGTGTTTTCTACCCAGAATCCTTTGCGTTGCTGCGAGGCCTCTTATCAGCAGCAGAGTGAAGTCTCCCCCCAGCCTGTTGCCACACAGAATCTGAATCAGTGTCACATTCAGATGATTCATGAGGCGAGCGAGCATTAGTGCGACCCCGTCCCGACATGCTGCAGCGTTTTCTGCTCAGTTCCACGTGAGCGACGGGTCACAGCTCGTATCTCGGCTGTGGAGCTCGCTCCTCTGGCTCGAAGGCCGCTCGCCTCAGTCAGAAGTCCATCCATGCCTGGCGGTGCTGCTGCACCCTCCTCCACCTCCAGATGCCAAGCCAAACAGGCAAGATAAACTCATCGGTGGAGCGGCCTCTCATTCCTCCTGCCTCCAGGAGAACGGTGCATTCTGGGACGACGGCTGGAAGTTCAGGCAGGGCAGGAAAACAAAAGCCACTGTGTTGTTTGAAACACATTTCATTCAGAGATCACTCCTCTCTCAGATTTATTGAATGACAAGAAGTCTGAACCTTCCAAAGCAAACCATGGATCGGCTATTGATGTCTGTGAGCATCACTCACATGTCTGAGGGAAATGGACCAGAACAGCACTTTGTCTTGTAGTTTAATGTCCTTTAGTGCTGGAACAGCTTTTATTAGAGCAAATTCAGAACAGACGATGGTTTTGTTGTTAAGAACTTAAGCAGCTAAAAGGTTTGGCATGTTTGTCGCTCACTGATTTTCAAATCTTGTGATGAAACGGGACAGAGCTGCAGCCATTTCAAACCTTGAAAATAAAGTTTTTCACAGTCTCCTGTAGAGTGTGTGTTGTAAGTGGCTCTCAGCTACGACCGTCTGAAACTTTAGCTCAGTGTCTGAAAAACTGGCCGAATTTTAGCCATTTTTGTGTTTTCTAAGGCTGATTAGCTGTGGCAGCCATCTTAGACTGGATTCAATCCAAAAGTGAATCAGTTGTAGACGTACGTCCACTGATGACTTTCTGAGAATTGCAATCAAATGTATCCAGTGGTTAAAGGGATATTTTGCTAACAGACAGACACACATTGAAACAGAGGCAAAAACATAGTTTGCCTTTCATTTTGGGGCGATAACAGAAGAAAACTTAATATCTTAGCTGCTGTGGATAGCTCTTCAAACACCCTAACTTTGGAGAGACAGCGTTTAATTCTGACGGGATTGATGAGCTAATGGCTAGTCTGAAGGAGATTAGGAGCAAAGTGGATTTTATAATCTTCAAACAACCAAAGCTTTAAAAAACATATAAGAAATTAAACCTTTGTCCTGCTGGTAGTGTATAAAGACATTTAGATCAAATCCTGCGGTTTCCTAAAGACAGCAGCAGCTAGCTGTAGCACTTGCATCAGGAAGTTTATAACTGTGCTGCTGATGATGAAAAACTTTATAAAAGTTTGTGCATGAAACCTCTGAAGACTTATTTACGTCATCAGGTTGTTAATGCGATCCGTTCCGATCCTCCTCAAAAGTCAGATGCTGCTGTATTTTAAAATAAAAAGCTGCGCTGGAAGTGCTACAGCTGGCTGCTGCTGCTCACAAATAACCTCCGATGTGTGCGCAAAACTGACGGCAATGTGAAGGCTGCTGGAACATCATTTGCTTGAACAGTCTTTAAAACATCAGGGATCCACGGTGGTCGCTCAGACTAGCCATTAGCTCGTCAGTCAGGCCAGAAACATTCTGTTTCTAGAAGCTGAAGGTGTTCAGAGAATTATCTACGACAGGTAAGATATTAACTGTTCACCGCCTCGCTTCAGAAAGTCCTGAACATCCCTTTAAGGTGTGGTTTGTAGCTGTTAGTAAAACTCACACCTCCTCTTCCACAGGCCTCACTCACTTCTTGGCGGTTGCCCCCCCCCCCCCCCCCCCCCTGCTTTTTAGGGAGTTATTCAATTATAAATCTTCCACCCCTCTTTTGTTGCCCCCCTCCTCTCACCGGCGTATGTGTTGCCCTGGGCCAAGTCCAGTAAAACAGGCTGGTACGCCCCCCCCTCGGGTCTCGTGCCCGAGAATTTATTATGCTCAGGGTGGCGAAGTGGGGTGCAACGTGTGCTGTTGGAAAATGGGGACCCCCCCTCAAGCCCCAGTGCCAACAGATGACAGTGACATATAGCAGGAAAGCCACCCAGAAGGAGAATGATCTCACACCTCAGCCACGCGCTCGCTGGGAGTGGGAGAAGTGGAGGGAGGGGAGGGAGCTGCAGCTGGGGGTAAAAGAAACAATAAAATCAGGATCGAGACCAGCAGTGATCAGAGGAAGCTAAGGTAGAACAAAAAAACAAAAAGTTTAATAAACATTTGGACGATGCCGTAAAAAACAGCTGTTTTCTGATCTATTTCAATAATTCACGCACGTTTAAAACACTTGTGGAGCAGAGAGCGCCCGAGAGCAGCTGGAGGGTTTGTGCCTTGCTCAAGGGCCCAGAGTGGAGCAGGTGTGGGTGTTAAACCTTTCCACCTAAATTCTCTGCTGGGGGGGTCACAAGCTCGCCTTCAGCCTCCGTTTTATCCAGTTATGGATTTAAAGTTTGAATTTTAGGAAGTGTCAGAATAACTTTACAGGATGTTTTGCTGCAGATGTTCGTATGGCAAGAAATTAAAAATTAAAATCAAGCATTTAAATAACTTCCGACTGACCGCCGGGATCCTAAATGTTTGTTAAATGCTGAACAAAG